GTTCCTCGTCCACTGATCACTAGAAACACTTCTAGAAACACCAGAAGCAGCTGTTTAGACAGATTTAAGAGCTATCAAGCCGAGACGAGGCTGTATAAAAGTTCTGTGCACAGACGGGAGCTGGAACCAATCTGATCAGAGTCGGGGATTCTTGACTCTCAGGCCTGACGGAAGAAACAAGTCAGTCTAAACAACTGAGAGAATGGGAATCGACCGAGCCACTGTTCGTGCAGGCCTTTGTCTTAAACTGTTTTCACAATCCACATATGAATGTTTGTACATTCTTTGTGTCAGGCTGGTTTTCTAGGTCACCAATGTTGTCCTGTACAGTATATCTTCTGTTAAAAGGGCTCGCTGGCAGTTGCTTTACTGTGGCTGTGCTGCTTTATTACCACCTGAAAAATCCAGGAAGAGGACTGGGAACCACTGCCCTACCACCACCCTAAACCATTCTCCAAGGCGGTCGACAGGCACAGGGTTATGTGGACTAGTGACAGATGTCAGAGTTTGGAGCTCCAGCTGAGATAGACCTAAACTCCGCTAGCCAGGTGCCTACTCCAGTGCTCCCACCCTGAAAGATATCCTCGTTTTCCCACCACCACCCCATCTCCCGCCGCTGAACGGACACCAGGCACAATAAAAAACGCAGAGACGGAGGAACCCCAAAGGGTTTCCGAAAAAGAGTCCAGATCCCGTCCGACAAGGGAGCCCTATTGGCGCAGGCAGGCAGACGGGTTTTCTGACACGTGATTGTCGGGCTCTCTGGGTGCTGTTATTGCTCTTCAATTAGTTTAACTAATAACTGCATCTTCCCAGACCTGGAAGTTTGTTCCCCCTCCGCCTTTAAAAGGTTAAGCCCCGCTTTTGCGTCTCTGAAACCCATAAAGCTTCCACCCTATAAATAAAAAATAATCATCAAACCGAAAATATTTACAGACCGCTACGTCGTTCTCAAATTAAATTAAAAACACGCTCCCGGCTCGCCCCCCCCCCCAACCCCCGTGACCGTTAACATGTGGCACATGGGGAGGGGCCCCTCCAAAATAAAAAAAACGACTCCGCGCGAGGCAGGCAGACAGGCAAGGAAGAGTGCTGCAGACGAGGACAGTCCCTCAAGTGAAGCTTGCAGCCATCGGTCAACACCGGGGACAGGGCGAGCCGGCGGGGAGGAGGGGTACCTGCGATTGTGGGTCACGGGGTCAGAGTTCGTGACACCCCAGGCACCCCCCAAAATTACCCCCCTCCCCCCCCTCTATTAAGGAAGCAGCAAGTCCATCCGTCGCTAACGGGACCCTGCCGGGAATTTTGGCCTTCCGGCGCCTTCCGCTGCTAGCCCGGCTTCCCCTCGGCTCGGAGGGCCTCTTCCAGCTTCTGCCGGTAGGTGCGATAGCGCTGCGTCAGGAGTCGGACGTAGTCGGCCTCCTCCTTGTCCAGGATCCGCAGGAAGTTCTGCAGCTCTGGAATGGAAAAGGCGTCCCACTGGGAGGTGGGAAGGGGACAGGGGGTCAGACAGAGCAGGAAAGCCGGGGGACAAGGAGACCCCCCCAACACGCGTCAACTGGAGAGAAACCGCCCCCCCCCCCCAAAGCCTAACCCCTCCACTGCCTAAAAGGCCGCAGTTTTGAAGACGTGGACCCAGAAGTCTGTGCGGCTACAGTCTCGCTCGGTGACGTCGCTCGCTGCATCGGGAGTCAGAAAACGCTCCCCGGTATTTCCTCGTGGGAGGTGGGGTGGTGCAGCGCTGGGCTCAGTTCCAGACCCGGGGGTGCTGTCTGTAACGCAGGTACGATCGGTTCTTGCGGGTGATCTCCCACTTCCACAGGGGACGTTTACGAGAGCCCACCTGCTGTCCGACGAACTGCTATCCCACCCACGTTCGCGAGTGCATTTCCCGGAGCAGCTACACGTCCATCTCATTCAAAAAAAAAAAAATCACTAATCATTAAAATATTTGAACAACCAACGACCCGGAATGTCTTTTGTATATTTAATATCCAAACGCGGCTGTAGGGAGCCCCACGCACAAACGCGAGCATTTTCACGGTTACAATCTGTGCTATAGTACTCGGCTGAATTTCACCCGAACGGGCTGTGAGCGCTGCTTTGGCCTGGAAAATGAACATCTGCTCCTGTTCTGCAATGGATTCGCCTGTTTCCTGACCACCCCCGGTGCCCATTACCGCCATCTCAATTTTCAACTTTCTCCAAACCACTCGTCGACTTCCTCAGATACTTCCCTTTTCCCCAACAGCTCACAAAAACGTTTCCTGCACGGAAACGTTTTTATTTTTTTCTACACACACAGCGCCAAACCTCCATCAGC